AAGTGACACTGGTTCCCCTGATTCTGTTCATCATAATGCACATATAAAGCAACAAGAAAAGCCATACGTATAAAATGTTTTAATCTGACTGCATGCATAAATCTTTAAGTGTTCAATTACTAGGATAATTTATGCTAATATTGTAAACAAACTTGGGAAGCAATACACATATGGTAAATAAAGAACCCACATACTGTCATAAGGTAAAATCTGGATGTCAACACAAGTCAGAGATTTTAGTATTCAAACTTTCAAATTATTCATATTTCTTTCATCTTATGCCCAATTAACAGTATACTAAAAGAATCTGCAGACTAGATACAGCCTACATCAATGATTCTCAATTCTCAATTTGTGCTACCTTCATGCAGTCTGTGGAAAGTTGCACAGTTATGGAAAGTAAGTGCCAGCATAATGTATGCATGTCAATGGGGTCTGCTGAGATGGAAAAAAAAATTCAGATGGTCCCCAAATTAAAGTTTGAGAACTTCTGGCCTACACTATACAGTCTATACAGTGCTACCTTCATGCAGTCTGTGGAAAGTTGCACTGTTATGGAAAGTAAGTGGCAGCATAATGTATGCATGTCAATGTGGTCTGCTGAGATGGAAAAAAAAATTAGATGGTCCCCAAATTAATGTTTGAGAACTTCTGGCCTACACTATACAGTCGCATTATTCAATGGCATTTGTTACATACTTTATATACTTGCAATTTCTTTATATATATAGCCTCAGAAAATATATTAAGTTATTGTCCTTTCTAACTGATTTTTCATAGCTTCTAATTTAGAAAATCTCTGTAAAATAGGCTTGAGATTACAGTCTAACAGTTATTTGTCAAAACAATTCTTTCTGCTGTATTTCATTAGACATATGGCTAAGCAGCAAGTCAAATGAGTCATTATGATGATACTTTAGGAAACTATCTTTTACCAATTATTTAAGGAAATTTCAAAACCTTAATCAAAATTCTCAGAAAACAAATCATTAAGTCAATAATTAGACAGCTGGAAATAAAAAGGATCCTAAATTCCTATAATGTGCAGATCTACATCATTCGGTTAACCTTTTAATATAATGTGTTTTCAAGATAGAAACCTTCAAAAATCATGTACACATGATAATCTACAAAAATAATAGCCTTTATCAAAATCACTCACTTGCATTTTTAGTACTTAGTATTCAGTTATGGTCTCAGTTGAATTAGGAAGCAGTTAGTTTACAGCATGAATATGTTTGAATGGTCACATAATCCCACTATGTAAATGCTAATCCTTTGCGCTAAAGGAAAGGCTAATCAAATATTTTACTATTCATATAGGTTCAGAAAATGCAACAGTGCATAACTAGTGAGCTTAATTCTGAATATTTTAGTAATATGTAACATAGTTCACATTTAAACAACAAAGTTCATTTCACGACTAACTGCGTATTATAGGCTTAAGCAGTATTATTAAAGCAAGCTGTAAAATCTATGTATGATCACAATTTTCCCACATATATCAATGATCTGTTCAACATAAAAGATGGTACAATTGGGCCATGATAAATGGAGATTCATACATAAGCATTTCAATATATTCTGTTACTTCTGAAAGTTGAAATCCAGTCAAGTTAATATGAGAGGTCTCTAAGTAAACATCACTCAAAGCATATTTTACTGGGAAGTACATTTCTAACTAAAGTATACGTTGAAATGGAAAAAGGAAACATACAAATATGCCCCTAAATAATTTCCAGTTATGTGCACAGGAAAGTGGCTGGGTGGGCTCAAGCCCCTGCCTTCCTACCCTTATGCCCCCAAAGTGTTTTTCTCTGGCATAAAAATTGTCAACAACTACAAAAAGATACACCTGATTCTACACTTGCTTGCTGCGAGTTATTAGGAAAAGAAAAAATAAAGATGTCAGTGTTAAAATGAATGGCACACAGGGACTTTTATAATAAAGAAAAAATTCTGATATGCTATTAAGTGTTAATACATATTAATTCACTGTTTAGTTTTAGATCACAAAAATGTTTATCAGACCAATAGAATAGGAATAGATGAGAATTTATTATGTGTACTAGAGGCACCCCATGGTCTCCACTACCCCCCCCCCATCCTTCAAAAATGCTTGTCTAACAATCCTTCAAAATGTAAATGTCTTTTTTTAACGAGTCCCTGCTCCTTTAATGTCCTCTGCACATTACTGCTATTTTCAGTTGAAGACCAATCAAAAATACAGTGTAAAATAAGTTATATATCAGGTGGAAACTAATTAGTCCTCAAGTAGACCATTTCACTTTCACTTGGAAATTTCTTTTGGGAATCCACTGCACCTGCTAACTTTGTATTGTACCTTTTTTAAACAAATTAACTCTGGTGAAAATGCCTACAAAAATTACATAATAAATATAACAAAAACTTTGATGTACCTGTGTATATGAAACATTTTTTTAAAACTCTTTCAAAATATTATTTTAATGTTTAGCCTTGGTCCTAGTAAAATACAAGTGCATTTCAGTTTTAACTTCACCTACAATATTAATGAAGTATCAATATAACCTCTATGTAAGCCCAAAATATATAACACGGAGACTGCATACATAAAGTTCATAACACATTATTTCTACTGTAAATTAATTATTCAAATATAGTAAGCACCTATTGTTATACAGTTTGACTTAACAGTTCAAGGCATTATTCTATCAACAAGGATAGATTATGTTTATGCATAAGTTTTGATTCATATTCTACACTAAATCATCAAGGATATCTTGACTATTTTCTCCTTAGAGAAATGTGCAATCAAGGCTCCAGAGACAAGTGCAAGTCCTTGAAATATGTGAAGCACTTAATTTAAAACAAAACTGTAAAGAATACTTATATGTCTAGCAAAGTTTAAAAAGCTATTTATTTAATAGCTAGACATTATTTTAAATCCTTACAATTAAAGATGTGGGAACTAGGACCACTGTGGGTGTGGTATGCACCTGCTGGTGGTGTTAGAATGAGTTTTATTGGTTTTTCAGTACCTTCACTCTAAAAATTGTTTTTAGTGTCAACACTTACAATGATAAACCAATAAATTTATACAAATTCCCCAAGCACTTTCACATTATGATTCTTTATAACAGTACATAAAAATTTACACCATTATGAACAACCTAAGTTGAATAGGCAAGAAACTGCCTAGTTTAGAGTGACACGTTATGCTTGAAGACAAAGTCTTGGAGGACTAATCTACAAAACTATCTCAGGTGGAAAGGACAATGTTTCAAAAGATTTCTGTCTTTTGTGTACAATTTTACTAAAGAACGATGCAAAAGGATGCTAGCACTATTTGTAAATGATTTGAACTTAATTGGGTGAATGACCATTAAGCACCTTACCAAACAACTACAATGTATACCACATATTCATGCAAGTCCAGAACAAACAAATGGCTTTACGTGTCCATTATGAGTTACAAATCAAACTTATGGAAAAATGGATGTTTAGTGTTCCTTTCAAAAATTATTAATATCATTTTTTCCTTTTAAAATGTTTATGTACACTACATATGTAAATTAAAAGTTTATGCAGTATTAAAAATAAGTGACAAAACCTGCAGGAACCAAATAATATTCATATCTAAAGGTAACAACTGACCCCTTTGCAGTAGTTCATTGATGCTTCCTTAAAGATTTTATAGTTACAAATGAGCCTAACTAATGTGTCTCATTAAATAGTAGTTTGTCCACAAAAATTGCAAATAACAAGGAAAAAAAGTAACAACTTGTCACATCAATGAAAAGAAGATCAACTAAACAAAACAAAATTACACAAATTTGCATGAAAATAAATCTAGTTTGAAAATTTCTAGGTGAAATGAGTTGCTTCAAACACTGAACCTAACTTTCAATACTTTTATGAGAATGTATACTAAAGCCCAAAATATTCAATTACATCGTGACAGTTTGCACTACATATCAAAATAAGTTGAACCCTTTAAAAAACCTTCAAACATAAGTAAAGAGACAAAACTGGTGAATAATGAATATTCTTCTTGAAATAGCACAATCTAACTGACCAAACAACTCTGAAACATGCAGCCTGCCACATAGCAAGGGAATCAACCTGAAAAAGTTCTTACATAATGAAACAGTGGTAAAAATGGACATTAAAAGTTCAAACTAACAATTCAAACTATTTACAAAAAAGGTAAAACAATTACCTTCTATAAAATATTTAGATTTGTCATCTTTTTTAAACTTTATAATATGTATCTTTTTTTTTATTAATCAAAACATCATACAAGATTATTTTTATAAAAGTATTTTTTTTTCACAAGATAATATAAATTAAATAAAGGGGAGATGCACTTTATAATTCAACAAGTTATACAAACTATCTGTTATAAGTTCTCATATATTTAATAAGTAATTATATATAAAGAGCATTTATGCTTAAAGTCACATTTATTTCTCGATACACCTTTATTCCTCATAATGGCAAGGCATAAACGAAAATTTTAAAGTGACACAGTTTTACTTGTTTTTGTATAATTCATATTTTTAAACTAAATACATGTGCAATGTTATTACATTATCTATGAAGAATAAATTAATACTTATAGAATAATTATAATTCTTGAAAAATTATATCATAAGCTATATTTTACATTAGCAAAATCATGATAAAATAAAATATTATTGCCAAATGTTTCCTTTCACATGATAGAATTTGATTATTAACCCTTACCACAGTTCTACAAAGTATCTTAGAAGAGGCATTCATAATTAATTAAGCATTATCTGATGATAATGCTGTCCACTTCACATGCTTGACAATAAATTTAATTTTGGCCAAGTTTTCCTTACAAGATTTCCAAGCAAATTATTTTGTTTTCGTTTCTTAGGTTTTTTGGTGTGTGTTGGCAACAATATCGTCCTTGATGGTAAAGGATTGTTTTGATTGGTCACATCAGAAAAAATTATTTCTTTCTGAGAGTCTAAGTTACTGACATGTGTTACCTGAAGACCAACTTGGATGGTTTTGGTGAGAGCACCCTCTGGGAACATAGCTTGAACTTGTGGTAGAACTGTTGAAGTTAGCATTCCTCCCTTTGAATCAAGAGCATGGATCTCTCGTCTGAAACGTGTAATAATGGCAAAATATTGTGGGAAATCTGTTGTTACAATACGTGTGATTCTGTTGGCGCTCAAGTCTTCTAAGGCACTTAACTCTGAATGGGATGAAAAAAAAATGTTTTCAGTACTAAAAATTGAGTATTAAAATAGAGACTAACTAGTAAACTTACCTCTGCATTAAGGTCAGCTACTTTGCAATCACAAAGCAAATATGTCTGATTCAAGTATATTGCCAATACTATTTCTTGTTGTATTATATGACAAATAGACTAGTACATGAATAATTTTGGCTTTGTGTGTAGTGCTATCTAATGGTAATATACACACAGCACATCAATAATAAATCAGGTCTCTTTCTCTCTTGACTTCAGCCTTTATGACTGCAATTATTATTTTATAGTCAAATAATTAATCTCAGATTAATATCCAAAAGGATGCCATGTTATGCAACGTAGGAGGGAGGATGTTGTAAGGTAAATATATAATTGAATTTTATTTTAAAACTGAATTTCTAACTTAAATAACTTATTCTTATATCAAAACCACAGCTAGTACAATAATTTATATAATAGTAGTGAGATTGATCTGGATTAATAAACAGTGCAACAGCCAAAATGGGCAGCAATTCCTAATTAGTTCAATTAGGCAGTTTCTGCTCCTTTCAAATCTGTTCATTATGAAGGCTTTTCTTAAATCCTCTATAAAACAAAGCTATTAGAACATTTTCTATCATGGTGAAATGAGTGAGAAGAAGGCTGTCAGTTTTATAATCAAACGTCATTTCAGAAGTAAAAAGGAGAAACTACAAAGTGACCCAATGTATATACAATGTTAGAGATTTTCTATCACTTTGTGAAAGAAAATCACTTAGAAAGTGGTTTAGGTTTGAGTAAATATCATAAAAATTTAATCCACACCTTGCAAAAAGAAAACCTTCAATGGCTGTTAGTGATCACTCAGAAAGTGTATTAGTACATCATTGGTTCTGGATCTTAAATATAAAAGAACCAAACCATACAAGAATCAGTTTTATCCAATTAAAAGGATTATTTCACTGGCAGTACAAATTCAGGAAAGTAGTATAATGAAAGTTGGCTATACAGGTTTTGAATAATGGAAAGTTATCTCCCAAGGCTATACATCAGATGGTTTAAAGTCATATATAAAGTTGCATCTTCATTAAGAATCCACCTAGTCAATTGATGGAAGATGCCCTGTAAAGAATGTGTGGTCAAGTCATACTACATTATATTGAACCATGGCTAAAGTTCACAAACTTTCAATATAAGGAGATGTCCGAGATGAATATTATATAGGATATCCTGCATAATCAAAAAGACCAATGAAGAAAAGGGATAGGTTATCCAAAATTTGGAATACCCATTTTTAGAGAGGGCTTGAATCTAAAGCACCATATCATCCTGACCCAAAATCACATACAAGGACGTGAATGTGAAAACCAACTCCATATTTATACTCAAGGTACAATTTCTACAGTTGATATAAATGAGAAATTTTCGTTTTTGTAACTTTACTTTTGACATCCTCCAACCTTTCTCATTATTGCTCCTCATATATCAACCTTCAATTTCTTTACAACTTTTCCTTCTGCTTTCCTTCACTTATGTCATTTCTTTACAACAATTAATTAAATCTCCAGTATTGTTACACTACACTTCAAACCATATTTTACGTTTTCCTATTGTTACCCTTTTTTTAGTGATATTTGAATGTGCTATGTATATTTGACTTTAACAAACATCACCAGAAGAAGAGTTTGAGCCTGAAATGTTATGTCAACTGAAAGTTTTTCCTAGATTTTATTATCATCATATCTAGTGTTTTTTCCTTTCTTAAATTTTGTCTTAGATTTTCACTGCAGTGTTTTAATAGATTTTTTCTTGTCTGTGAACAGTTATGAAACAATTTATAGTACAGCCAGTTCAAAAGCCTACAAATTTATGATAAATGAAATTCATAAAATTGACTATAAGTCTGTTGAATATTTACAAGTAAGAAGTGGCAACAGATACAGCATGTGGCTGTAATACTGCAGGAATGCCATATATGTATGTTCATTAAAAACAGTTTAGCTGCTTTAAAGAATTTGCTTATGGCATTAGTCTGATAATTTTCACTAGGATAGCTTGATTAAAGGTTTTATGAAAAACATGATTACTATAACCCAAACAAAAGGTAATATACATCTAATTAAACAATGTTCTTAATCTGTCAGTTGAGTGTTTTAAAGAAAGAGATAGTGAAGAAGGCTGATTTTAGACACATGCACAAAAAAGTCACAATGGTGGATAGCAATATTTTACAAAACTATAAGACAAAAACTAGAAAAAATAAAGACACTTCAGAAACTGATAGCTGTGTTTGGTACTTTGCTTCAAAGAACCAAAAACCAGTAATTCAGAATATACAGGTTTAATATGAAGATGATGCTAAACATGGAAGTAAAAAATAAAAGAAAAAGAGAGTGTAGTTTGCAAATCTTTTGGAAAAGATAACAAACCTAAATAGATTCAATAAAACTGTTTATGCAGGTACTTGGTAGATTCACACAGAAAACCAAGAAAAAAAGTTTACAATTTATCTGAAACTGCAATAATTTTGCTGCACAAGAAGCCATAACGGTTAGGTTGTCTTACATGACTGAATCTCTTTTAAGTCACTGACACATTTTCATTTGTATATTGTATAGCTTCTATGTGAAGTTTCATTGAATTTATCATTACACAGAGAGCACATTAAGTAAAAAACATACATGACCAATTGTTACTAGGGTTGTTTGCATAAAACATTTTATACTAAATAGAGTTTTATCCGACAGAAAAGAAATGTAACCTGCTTAGGCTAAAATTTAGCTTGTACAGAACAATAAGGAAAATTTTTTTAGCATTGAGCCATAATAAAGTCTATCACATAAAAACAAAGAAATAAGGAAAAAATGCAAAAATAAATAGCAATTCCTCCTTCCTTAAAAACAAATATATATGCAGATAAAAAATACCAGTGGGCATTTATTTAATAATGATTTGCTATCACTGTTTTCTTTATGAAAGAATATCCTGAAAGGCAAATCTTAAAGTAAAAAGTATTTAAGGTGACTATTATTTCTATGAGTAATGTTGAATCCAAGAAAAGTCAATGTAGAGCAAAAAGTATAAGGCAGGATTCTAACTTTATACAGCATGTAACTGAGATAAATATAAAGTGTTTTTTAAGAAGTGGTGAAATACAGTGATTTTTTTATTCCTGGTGACTTTGTGATTGTGAAAGCAGTAATATGAGCCATTGTATAAAACAGTGGTAAGTGCATTCAGCATCCATCCCTAGATACATATGATAAAAGGATATAAATACCATTTAAGAACTCTTCTTTACTGAACTAGTTATAAAAACAGTACAGTAGTACAAATAAATAACAAGATCCAGATGTGAACCTTTGGTGGTTTTGTAAGAGTTGGGTATGTTTAATTTCCCAGTATTTATGAAATATTTAACACTACATTAGGAAAGTTCAGAGGTTGTTTTTACAAAGTAAATCGTAAACAAATATACAACCTTGCATCTACTATAAGCCTGAGGAGAGATGGACATGAAAGTTAAACAATAAAATAACTTGATTCATTATATGGAGAAATTCAACTGTTTTTGTGTCCTTTCTACAGAAGCCAAGTTTCACAAAACTGGGTAACTAATGTTACTGATTCACGTTACTGATCAAAGATTTAATTTCTCACTGTAGAAAAAAATCCCCAATGAACATAAACTGAAGCAGGTATTTTTATTTGCACTCACTGATTAGTTTTTTTTATCTGCAAGAGGAAGATAATAGATAGTCCTACGTATGTTGACTTATCACACATTAACCATTCCTTACAAAGTCTTTGAAAGTTAGCCTTTCTCACTCTGAAATTACTTTAGAAAGAAATTTATTTACCCATGTTTTGTTTGGCTTCATTTTATCACTAAATTTCATCTTCAAATATTTTATTTTCTATCTTAGATTGTTCACTGGGTGGATTAGGTTTTAGGAAAAAATAATCTTTGTTATTTTGGGGCTGTATAAAAAACTAAGATAATATTAAGGTGTTTTTATAATCATATTAAACCTTATTTTAGAATCTACAATGCATTAAACAGTATGAATTATTTTATTTGTAAAGACAAAATATGAATCCTTTAAATGTGTTTTTTTTATTATGAGCACTGACTTACCTTTCAATAAAGGACATACTAAAGAGCATGGTAATTACAAACTGACTATAACTTGTTATGAAGCAATTGGATATTTTTGAGGGAATTTTACAATTGCTTCAGTATATTAATGTTCAGGAGTTAAGAAAGAAGCTACAGAGATTTAAGTATTCTGAGTGTGATACACATACATGAAGAAATGGCATAAGTAAGGACACCTTTATTACGAAATTAGGTCAAGAACTAGGTAAAGCACAGTTAGCTGGTTAGTTAGTATTGAGAATCATGAGTTAAGAGCTATAAAAAATGAAGCGATAGCGAGAATGCTGAGAAAACACTAGTCACGAGTTTGACAGTGATAAGTTACTGATGTCGAGTTAGTAGCACTGTAAAGGCCACTAAAAAGTGGTTATGATAGCATCTCAAATCAGTGCTTTGATGTGAGATCTGTTCCTCCAGACCGGTGTTGTCGTACAAGTAAAAAGGCAACCGGAGCACTCACCATCACAGCAACCAATTACTTGAGAGTTTTGGTTCTTGTTTTGAATCAGCCCAGAAAGTTGCACAGATTGACAAATGAAGTATTAGAACTACTTGAGGGTAGTTAGGAATACTATTTGGAAAGTTGAAAAAATAGAGAAAATATAGTATAAAAACTTGTGTCTGGAGCCAAAAATCAGTTCTCCAGGAAGAATCAAGGTTCTCCAAAGAGCAGAATTCTCCAAGCAACCATGAATATGAAGGTTCCAACCTCCAGAAGTATACAAGTCCAGCTCTGTTGTAAGTATAGAATTGCTATCTCTCTTGTTCAATTAATGTACTTTACTAGAGGAAGTTAATGCTTACAATAGAGAGAAATATTCTATATGTATTGGTTAATAGTGTTAACTGAAAAGTGAAAAGTAAAGTTGTGAGAAACTAACGGTTTAGTAAATGTTTAACTATTGATGTTAATAGAATATACCATGTGGAAAGACCTAATAAATGTTGATGTATTTTGTGTAATGTCAGTCTTGGAATCTGTTTCTTTATTCTAACTGTAAATTACCACGAATTAGAGACTTGTGATCTCCACTTGCCACTGCAATCCTCAACTAAATAAATTTGGTGTAATTGGTAGTATAGTCAAAACTCCAACGACTAGCCCTAAGGCGCTGCCCGTTACAGTTATCATTAAAGTGATCATACTTAAACCAGCATATTCTCAGTCTATGAGGGACTTTATTATATAGATATGTAACAACAATATAATTAAAAGTGTTCATAAGAACAAACACAACTAATTAAGATAGAGGAGACAAGGCTTAAGTCAAAATAGCAGCAGATTAACCAACTAAAAGACCTATTTTTTAAGGGAAATGTTCAATAAAATAAAGCATTAAAAAGTAATACCGAATGAATGAGCAAAGAGAAAACACTAAGAACACTAGTTCTCTAAAATGACACTGTGACTCATATAAACAAATTAAGTACACATTGTAAAGAAGTACTAATGTTCTTCCCATGGAGGCTTGAAAAAGTGTTAAAATATACCCTTAAAAACATGATGAAATGAAAGTTGACTCATGAACGATAAAAAAAGAAAACAGAATAAAAATAAAACATTATTATTCAAAATTAAAAACTGAAATGAAAATGTGTCTTGGATTTATAAAACAGCTTAAAAATTGTGAATCATTCCTATAATGATACAAATGATGAATTGATATTTGAAATTTTATTGTTCTGAAATGAATATCTGCTAGATTAAAAAAGAAAGAAGCTCTAATTAAAAGTTAGGATGAAGAAATTTCGAAATGAAAATACCTCTCTTCTTATCTTTCTATGCACTTGTTTAAAATTTGTGAATATACAGATTCACTACAGATTCAAAGCAAAAGGGCTAAGTATAAACTGATATAAAGCTTACCATCTTCTTCAATACACCCATTTAAGACATCATATACATTAACATCTGGTGGAGGAACATGCTCCTTCCAGGTCTCTCCTGAGTTGCTCCTTAATATGGTAATTTCTCGCTCTTTTTCATGCAGGGAAGCAAAATGAGGTATCTCGAGTATCACAGGTCTACATAAAAATCACAGCAATGAACTCAGGTTAGTTTAATACATGTACAGCATCAAAACCTAACTGAAACTCAGGAATGTAATTCCAAAGATAAGTTTTAAGTTCATACTCTAGTTTTTTGTTATTAAATATATATAAATTCCACACTTACTGTTTTATCAACTGTTAATTTTATATTACTCTGTGTTTCAATGAACTACCTTACAAAATTACACATTTTAAAAGTGAAAAACTAATAAAATGTTTTTTAATTTACCTAAAAATGTATATATATGTATATATATATATATAAGTATGTAACAATACTTAAAAACTATATGCAAATTCACCATGGTATCTTAAAGTAAAAAATGGTATAATTCAGTATATTATTTTTACTTTTACAAGAAAATTACAGAAAAAGCTCTAAGAATTTTATATTAAAACAGGGCAAAAAAGCAAGAAAAAAGTCTTAAAGTCCACACATTTTAAAGACTGGACAGAGCAGAAGTCATTATTTATAAATGTGTGTAAAATAAAGAAGAAAAATTGCTCCTAATGATCATAAAGAGATTTTAAATAATAAGATATTACTTCTTTTTTTCAAGTGAGCATGTCATTACAAGCAGATAGTTGTCATATTTGTTTTTACTCATCAAAAATGTTATATTACAACTATATGTAAAGAGCAAATGTTTAATATTCATACACACTTGCTCCTTCAGGAAATACTAAATATCTATATTTATAAACACATTAACACAGATAAGTTCAATATTTGATAGTAGTACATGTCAGGTTATTATGTGTATAGGTGGGCAAGATTCTTTACAGTAGATGTCTGTGAACTGTTGGCGATATATTTCAACAATAAACGAACAGCACACAATCCACTTGTTTTAAAATAATATATTCAAAACAAGTCAAATGTATATACAAATGTTCCCTACACAATTAATCACCACTGTTATATCCAGAGCTTTAAATAATTGTCTCCTTTTTGCCAAAGTAAACACAGGCAGGTTCAATCACTTTAGAACCCTCTTTGACAAGACAAATTATTCTTCCCTATTTCTGTTATTACAATACAAGCTGTGAAACTCACTTTAGAAATTGGCTGTTATGGCTAAACTCACACACAGTCTAAATTCACTTTTTTAATTTTTACTTCCACTTTCACTAACTTTAACTGTTGGTTACCACAGTTGTATCCAGAGCTTTAACTAATTGTCTTTTTTTTTTGTCACAAGTCCACACACAGACTGGTTCAGTTACTTTAGAACCAAAATGACAGGACAAATTATTCTTCCCTACTCTGTTATTGGAATAAAATCTGTGATAATTTTACCTTAGAAATTGCCACTAAACTCAAAATCACTCAATCTAGATCTGTTTAACTACCTCTCTCACTAACTTAACTTTCTTACTTGGAGCATACTTACATCTTACCCAACTTAGACCTAGAACTTTCCACAAACTATGAGACATTATGTTGTAACAATACTCAATGAAATAATGAAAAAACTTAGAAGGTTCTAGTAACATGATGCAACAATTTAACAATCACATACTAGTGAACTACATAATTTATGATTTGTACACAGTCACGCAAACAAACCTGTGATAAAACATCACCTCTAAAAATACTAAGTTTAACACCTGCACTTTATAGCTACCTAAATCAAACTCTCATATTAAATTTAAATGAAACAGTCATGTATATCTAACTGTACAATTAAATGTTAGTAAACTTTGATTCACTAAAAACAACAGAAGTGGTCATATATATATCTGAACTATACAGGTTCATAGCCTATGTCAAAATTGCTACTGCCAAATATTTATCAATTGTAATTAAAAAGGTATTAGCTACATTAAAAATAGTGCAGTTCACTAATTATTAAATCTCTAAGTGTTAACAATGTGGTAATTCTACATTAAAAACGTTTAAGCAAATTCAAAAATTAAAACAGCTGTTCTTAGTATTAATACATACTTCACCATAGATAATTCCCTACAATGCAAATAAATATATAAAGATTTGAAGGCCAAATATCAATGGTAACTTTTGACTTCAATAGTTAATTTATATATATACCAGCTTACCCTTAGATAAATTGAAAAAAAAAACATTTTTGATCAGTAACATCTAGATCTTTTAATTACTCTGGTAAAATAAATAATATTTGTATCAATGAAAATAATACATGGTTTTTTTTATCTTTTGCAGAATAATCTAACACTGAATGATAATGCTGAGCCACATACACATTCTATATAACAAGGATAATTACATGCATTTTATGAGCTGCATGCAGTAGTTTCCTTGATAATTGTTTAACAACTAATGAATAATTATATGATATGGTTTATTTTGATTCATCTTTTTACCTTTACAAACGACACAATGAAATACAACTCATGTTTTCCCGGAGTTATCACAATACATTTTTATCAATGTTCAAATCAATTCTGGTCCAAGAAGTTATTTTCACTCACCCTTGAAATTTTGTACCAGATGGTCCAACTTCAAGAATTCTAGAAGCCAAAGCTTCGCCTTCCATAAGAGGAGGTGGGTGGACAAGATTATCTTTTTCTAAGTATCGGCAAGTAATGCGTATTGGCATAAGGGCTTTTTGGGGTGGAATTATAATTCTCACCCCTGAATGTCGACAACCACGCATTGCTCCTCCTCGAGCATCAACCATAAAACTAACCAAAAATCTGAGAATTAAAAAAAACAGGTGTATATATAAATATTTTGTCACTGAATTATACAGAGATTTGCAGGTTGTCAATTTTTAAATATTACTGCCTATAAATATAATTTACCTGGATAGGCTGGTAAAAAATATATTTATTACTTGTATCATTGCCTTCTTTCACAATTGACAATACTTTTCATTTTAGAAAAACTAAAAAATTAGGTTTTTAACAACAAAAATGCTAGTTTTTCAAACACAAAAGAAACAAATGTTTGTCATTTCATGGGAACTCCCTAAACATTTACATGCAAGTTTCTAATATTCAAAAAGCTTACTTGCATTAAGAAACCTTGTCCTTTATGAACATAGCAATATGAAAGAAGAACCATTCTCAAGGAAAATAATTATCTAACTAAATTACAATAACAAGATATCAATGTAGCACAAAGTGTGTTACTTGAATAATAACATTGAGATTAAGTAATTTCATAATGCTAGTAAATGTTGAACATGCCATTGAATATTAGTTTTAAAAAACTTGGTTAAAATAAATTATAAAAACTTACATTTTCCACTCAAGCTTGCTACATGCAAATATCCACAAGGAGAATCAAAAAATAAACAAGCAATTGTTAGTAGCATAAAAAACTAAAAATTCGTAAACTAATTCTTAACTACATTAATTTAATCCAAATCAATATCTATTACAATTAATAAAAATGATAAGCTAAATCAACAAATTCCGTAATAGTGCATTATGGTATTAAACCATTTCAGGTAACGACTGATGACATTATGTATTTCTTGTTAGTTAGTTACACAGAAATGGCCTTGTAAATGTATGAGATACTTCAATATTGTACAATTAACAAATGTTTAAAGGTAAATGCCAAAAAGCCAAAATTGTGATCTATAAAGGCTTCATTTGAGAACACAAAAAAGCACAGGTTTTGTGGGTAATGTACAAAATTCAACTGATTTTGAGAATAGCATGGCTTGAAAAATGAGCTATTCTGGCACAATATGTTTTGTATCTGCACCTTTTACATGCATGATAAATCAAAAAATTATGCACTTTTTAAAATCTTATAACAAACACACAGATGGAGTCAGTAGGATAACTGATAATCTAATCTACTACAGTTTGAAGGAAAATAAGTCTGTTTTACATTGGTCAATGGCTATCTAACAACTAGACTTTAGCTCTTCTAAACATAATAGTGTAAGTTGACTGTTTTTTCAAATACTACATTTTTGTACATCTTTGTTAACAAACACTTTTTAAAATGCAATTGAAAACATCAGATTATTTAAACAAAATAAAACTAAACATAAGCTTATGTAAATAAATTGCTTTTGTATTTTTTTTAAATATTAGCACCTGACAGACAATGCATTCACTTTCATAATACTTCAACTTCTTCCCCTATTAAACTACAACAAGTATATTAAACTGATTTAGTTAAGTGAACCAATGAAATTAACTTTTAAGCCTTTTAACCAATTCTCATTGCTTCTCCAGAAGTCCCATTACTACATTGTTTGCAAGATTTCAATATTACTTTTTTGCTAAAATTTTCCTCTTGCTTTCTAGGTAAAAGGAAATTGACATAATTATCCACACATATCTTAATATTGGTCCCAAAGCGAATACTTTCCTGTATTTATATTTACAAGAATATTCCATGTCTCCACTCAGAAAGGTCACAGCATGGAAAATATGAACTATTCTCTTGAGAAGCTGTTTTATTTATATTTATGCTTTGCTAGAATTAACTGCTGTAAAGTGCATTTCAAAATATGATGTTATAAAAATGTTTTAAATCATATAAAATACATAATCCTTTCATAGGCACATTTTCTTTTTTGCCTCTTTATAAAGATTTAATTGCATAACATAACATATTCACGAAATTCTTATACAGTAGATATCTAGGCTGACATTCTATAAAACTTATAGCCCTACTAAAGAGGACACCATAATCACAAACTCTTATAAAGTAGATACCATGTATAAAATTCTATAAGACTTACAGCTCTACTGAAGAAGATATCTTCACACTTATATATCAAGTATGACATTATACAAGGCCTATAACTAAAAAGAATAACCAGTATGTCTTCACTAAATCTATTTAAAAGCATTACAAGGATTAAATTTAGATGACATTCTACTGTATTAAGGGACTTGTGCCCCAAAATAGATTACCAAATTTGATGGATGATTGTCCAATACTCAGATCACCATAGCAGTTATTATCTTAAAACAGTTTCTGGCATGCTCCAACAAGTCTACTAAATTACACACAACATTAAAAACAAAAGTACTATAATCCTATTAATTAAGGAAGAGAAAGAAGAATATATATTATTCTATAAGATCCTTTTATAAATATAATAAACAACATTTAACAGTAACTTGCTCTTTTTTGTCAGTCCTTGAATAGTGAGCAGGTATCAGAGGATTAGAAGTTAGCTAATGTAACTCCTCTTTTCAAGGGAGGTGATAAAAATTGTCCCAGTAATTATAGACCCATTAATCTTACATTAGTTGTGGGAAACGTTTTGGAAATTTTAGTCAACATGGTTTCACTAATGGAAAATCTTGCCTTACAAATTTTTGATATTCTTTGAAAAGTTTCTATTTATGTAGATGAGGGTAAGGGTGTAGATTTGGTGTATCTGGATTTTCAGAAAGCATTTGACAAGGTGCCACACAATAGGTGTGGGGGATAAGTTAACAAATTGGATAGAAGAGTGGCTGGATGGAAGAAAGCAGAGGGTTGTTACAAATGGAATTCAGTCAAACTGGATTAATGTCACACGTGTGATAACTCAGGGTTCAGTCTTAGGACCTTTGATCTTTTTGATTAACGTCAATGACATAGATGAAGAAATGGTCAATAAATTACATAAATTTGCAGATGATATTAAAGTCTTGGATGCTGCTAGCTGTGAAGAGAATGCTGCTGATTTACAAAAGGATTTATTGGGCAAATAAATAGCAGATGGGTCTTAATTAAAATAAATACAAGATATTCATGTGGATTATAATAATTTGAATTATAAGTATAATTTGGATGGGATTAACCTTAACAGTGTCATGAAAGAAATGGATCTTGGTGTAATAGTTGATCAGTCTCTTAAGGCATCCAAACAGTGTGCTGTTTCTAGTTGTAGGGCAAATACAATTTTAGGTTGTATCTAGAGAAATATTGAAGAGGTTATAATTTCATTGTATAGGTCACTGTTTAGGCCACATTTGGAATAATGTTTTCAGTCTTGGGCTCCTTACCTTAGGAAGGGCATTGAGTTGTTGGAAAAGGTTCAGAGGAGGGTTACTCAAATGGTGCCTGGGATGGAGGGGTTGCCATACGAGGAGAGGTTGAAATCTCTCAAATTATTTTCCCTTGAAAAAAAAGAAAAGTTAGGGGGGACCTGATTGAGGTGTTTAAGATTGTAAATGGAATTGATAATGTTAAGGCATCATCTTTTTTCATACTTAATAGTGAGAATAGTAGGACTAGGGGACACAAATATAAATTTTGGCAGAGTAGAAGTTATCTTCAGCTAAGACAGTTATATTTTTTTAACAGGGTGGTTGGCCTTTGGAATGGGTTGCCTTCGGATGTTGTGGAGGCAGTAAATTTAAGTGAGTTTAAGAAAAAGCTTGATAAGTATATAATTGATAAGGGCTGGCTTTAAAATTTTTTCTAAATTTATTTATTAATAGTTTTAGTTTAATTTTGAGGATGCAACAGCCGAAATGGATCAATAGGCCCTATGTTGTCCCAAAACATTATATTATGTTACGTCTCCTTATAAAATGATAGTTTTCTTCATAATTTTTTAACTGTAATTATTGTAGCGACAAGTCAAATTCTTTTATATGTCACTATCATAACATTTCAACATTATGAACTGTTTTTGTTTTTTTTTCTCATGTAAAATTAGATGGAAATTTTAAAAATTTGTGACAGTGCTGTCATCCTGTTTGTATGCCAGTAGTAGGTTTAATGTATTATTGCATGAATAGGACTGTGGATGAAATTTTAAATCAGTAGAATGTTTCATATAACTGTCATGAAGCTCAGAATTTTCTAATCTCATATCGATTGCCCTGCCATTTATCTCTATGATACTGATCTATAGTGAAATAAGTTAATTAAGAATTATTCCCTAAAACTTAAAAAATGTTATGACTTCCCTTAAAATACACATATTTCTAAGCAAAGCTATTAAAAATTTCATAGGACCAAGACCTTACCTTTCACCTATTTATGATGATAAATATATTCCCTAAAAACAACAGTTAATTGTGTGAGATGTGTATTGAGATTAACAAACTTCCAGCAAGACGTAGGTCAACATTTAAGACATTTTACATAAAACTAAAAATTGTTTGGTAAAAAGATGAGTGTGGTATCATTTTCCAAAAATACAGGTGGGATATTAGTAACAATAAATGGAATTAGATGTAGAAATTCTTAGAAATAAAGACTGATATATGTGATGACTTCTGTTTCATGTTTGTTTTGACTTTTGATGATCAATATAGTTAAACATTAATTTAGACCACTGAGAAAGCTGCTTTCTTCAATGGGTGACAAAAATTAATAGTATTTTACTGTTATCAATTAATTAAGTCACAAAGATAATTTAAAAATAAATGGCCTATTATCTTAATGCAAACTGAAGAATAGTAGAAACTTTAAAATATGAAAAAAATCTACTATTCAATCAAGAAATTTAAACTATTGGTTTTAATTTTCAGTAAACTGAAGAAAGACCTAAGTTAATATTTATGTAAAAGTTTAGGTACAAAAAGGGATTTGATTTTGAATGACACAGAAGCATATGTGCAGATTACTATATTGCCTATAAACCTATGTAATGTGATGAGACATAAGGATGTAAAAATTCTGAATATATTTTCTAATGTAATATACTTTGTTGAGTTATTTAGTTGTTTTCACAGTTCCATCACAAAGAAAACCTCCTATAACACAAGACACTTAGTAACACAGAACAGACTGATCCTTCATACCTAACCCTCTGTTACAAAAGAATGCAACACCTTTTTGAAAACACTGCATATTTTCATGACACTAGAATATAACATACAAATAATATTAATGTTTTAAGAGCCTACTTATCATGTTACACTTATGATATTTTTTGTCTTAAAGCTAAAAAAGTAATTTCATTGGTTATTCTAATATAAAATTAATAATTACTTACCCAGAATACACTGGTGTCTCCGAGATATTTACATCATCAGGAACATATTTTTCTACAACATATGGTTTTTTATTTGCAATAGTAATTTGAGGTGGTAGATGCTCTTTTTCAACAGTTACTGGTGCTGAAAATATCATTTGTGAATTTTCTTTTTTACAAAGTAAATTTAATCACTATTTATTAAAAAACAAAATATGAGAAGAAATGAAAAATGAAAATACAAGGACAAGACTTATCAAAAATCCTAACAGAAAAACTATAACACAAAGCTGTCAAATACAAGAACATCACAGACCTCAAAATTATGTATTTCAACACCTTTCTCACAAATTATTTCCTCCTTTTATATTATGTCATGAGTATAATATGTGTCCATATCAAAAACTAAAGTATGTGCACAACTAGGTTGTTCATCATTTGATAATTTTTTATAATTATGTTTGTGTGAAGATTTGATAGTGGAAAAAGATACAGATAATAAACTGACCACTATGAAGTTCCATGGCAAATGGATAATTTTTTGTAATTCTGTTTGTGTGGAGATTTGATAGTGGAAAAAGATACAGATAATAAACTGACCACTATGAAGTTCCATGGCAAATGGATAATTTTTTGTAATTATGTTTGTGTGAAGATTTGATAGTGGAAAAAGATACAGATAATAAACTGACCACTATGAAGTTCCATGGCAAATGGATAATTTTTTTAAAGTCCAAAAGTGAAAAATAATAAATTCATACACAAATGAATTAATGGTAGAGTGCAACAGTAACAAAAACTGTCTAGGATAATCATAATAACCAAATTATATTTTATCTTAAACTTTGCCACATACTCAAGCTACTTGTATTTAAGTTATTAGCTTTTTATGGCCAAAAATTTAATCCACCATATGTTAATCAAACTGTTCACTTTTGAGTTACTTGAGAGATGCAACATATTACAGCATCACTGGTAGAAACTTTCTAGTGTGGTGAAATGCATAAAGATATTAACTATCACACATCAATTGAAAAAGTACAATAAAGACAGAATCTCTTATATTAGAAACACTCAATTCACTGAAACATAAACATTTCTTTATCAAACATCTGTTTTTGAAAATTAATGAATTTTTTAATAGGCAAGATAAGCATTTTTTACTTTACCATAATACTACCTTGTCCTGATTTCAAAAATGGTACTGTTTGGAATTTTTCTGTTATTATTTTTTGCATAATACAAACTGGTGAAACATAAATCACCAATGTGGAACCTTACTACACAACCCCTACTATATTTTTAACATCCGTTAAAGATGTGATAAGTAAAACAAAAAGGTAGTTATTAATAGCTTTAATAAATGTTAGCAATTTTTAAGATATAAGACTAATCCAAAACTAAATCATTTTGTTGTAAAGATTAAGATGACTTACCTTCAATGTGTTGGCTTAATGCCATACTTTCAGCAAGTTTTTCATCTTTGGTAACATTGATGATGTGAGTATTTTCATTCAAATTTTTTGTGCCATCATATGCAATGCATTTCATGAATTGATCACCTGCCACAGAGTCTTCCCCTAGATAACAGTTTAATATCTGTATTTGTTACATTCATGATGTTAGAAAAACACGTAGGTTCAAGAAGTCTTGATAGAAATTAATAAAAACCCTATAACCCGAGCGCTTTCGAGAGGTGGACCTTTCTTCTTCAGGGACAAACTGGGAATCAAACTGTATTTGTTACGTGTAACGTATTAAGTTCATTATTTCTTTAAACCACAGTTTTGTGAATATCATACATCACAATAGACAAGTTATTTTCTTGTCCATTGTAAAAAAAGAATACAAGTATTTTACAATACACATGATTATTTCTTTTACTGACAGTTTAAACTACTTTTACGTAACTTTAAAATACAGTTACTTTATAAAGATGTCTTATTTGTCTTCCATACATAACTTTATATTGATGACATGCTACAGCTTGCACAATTGAGTCACTTTACATTCTGTTTTTGTTTGAGGCTGAAATGCAGTGGGTGTGGGCATGTATATTACAGACTTTTTCAGTCTTTACTCTTAGTTTCTAGACAGTCTTTCATCACAAGTCCTATTTTAATTTAAAAAACAGTCACAAAAATTCCAAATAAAAAGAAAGTTTGCCTGTCAAATATATTGACTAATCTTGCTTTTAAAAAAAGAACAAAGAAGTAAAGTTAAATAATTTACCATATTCAAGTGGAATAACTGACAAGTATTTTAGTTATATAATAAATGTTTCAGAATTCTACATATTCCATCTTCACTGTAATTTTAATGATGCCCAAGAACTGATGTAAACTGGAAATTTTGCTTTAAATACTGAAAATGGAATCTGTAAATTCCAAAATGTTTATCCATGTCCCTTCTTAAATAAATAAAAAATGTTCATCCTGTCATAATACTTTATATTACCAAACTGTATTTTTTTTTTAAATCTGAGTTTTTTTTTCTGTGATTAAATTCAGAGAAGAAATTTTTCTCAATGGCTTTTGCTTGGCTCCAAATTATGAGGTAAAGAAATATTTTTTTTATTAATATAAACAATTAATCCAATATAAATACTATATAACTACTAAAACAATACTTAGTGCTAACAGTTCTGGGTCTCACTTCATCTTTTTCATCAAAGATTTTACGAAAATAATAGTATATTCTTTATAATCCTGAAAAGAAATTTTGATTTCATACTGGTATCAGAGGAAATAAATAGAAACATAACTTATATATTCCAACCAATTTCAAGAAAGTAACCGAATAGCTCTGATAGATTATATAATTCTTTCTTGGAAACCAATAAATCAACTACTTTTGATTTATTTTTAGTTTCAGAAGCTACAAAGTAGTAGGGTATTTAAAGTTAATGTTTTCCGATAGATACTTACCTCCATTCACATAATTTTTTTTCTTGACTTCTGCTGCCCTCTATGTGCACAATTTTCACTCACCACTAGCTTTGATGCTACCATTTACCCTCATATAATTTCCCATGGCATATCTGCAGTGTAGCATGCAAATGAACATGCAACAATAGGAGTGCAACACACCCTCCTAGCACAGTTGAATCTCTATATACTGTACAGCACTAACTTCACTTAGAAATTATGCACAAAAGACACACTGGAAGTGATGAAAACAGGGGAGTGTGAGAAGAGTTAAGTACTTATTATAAATACATTTTCAGTGTAGGAAAATGTTAACTTCTGATACAATGCCTTACCTCCACTAGAATCCCACACTGAAATGGTGGAGGGACTGGTGCAAAAGTTACCAAGAAGGAAGGTGCCTGAAGAGATCCCATGCAGTGTAATAAGTTAAAGTACGGGGTCTCACCTCATCTATACCAGGTATACTCTTTGCCCATTGGAAAGATACATGTCGCTAAATTGGGCAGAAAAGATGCAAATGGTGTAGAGTGGCTAAGGCATGTGTCAGACCCTATTCGGGTATTTGTATGCCCGTCCATGGTAGGAGGAGGGTCTCAACTGTCTTTACCTCAACACCAGGAAACAGAAGGGAAGATTGGATCATCATCCAATGACTGGAGATCTCATGAGAATCCAGAGATGCTCCTCATATTGTAAGAGAAGCATCTGTAAAAAGGTACAAATTGGGACATTGAGGAGGCAGAGGAAAACCAGCTTAGGTGTTGTCTTTGTCAAGCCACAAAGAAAACTCGACTTGTATGGAAGGAGAATGGTAGAGTCCAAGGGATCCCGAATGAGATTCCACTGATCGTGCAACACTGAAGACAATGCATGTTTGCATGACCCCAGGAAATAATGGCTTCCATGAAAGCTTAGGTCCTCTAAAGTGATAGAACCTTGAATGCAGGTAGAGAAGAAAAAGACTTGTCTTTGGAAACTAAGAGCTCCATTGACTTCAAATGAAGAGGAGAAGGCTGTGCTGGGTGGGTATTGTAAAACACCCCCAAATGGATAAGATACTGTGTGGGGTGAGATAGGACTTTTTTTAGGTTTTATATATATATATATATACAGTTGAATAACCAAAAAATCATAAATTACTATATCAATACCACAGAATTCCGCTATAATTTATCAAGCTTAGTAACTAAGCTGTACTTTGGTTTAAAAAAATATGTAATTTCCAGCAGACTAAAGACACAACCTACCTCCTTGAAATCTTGGTTAAAAAGAACGAGATGGCATCCTAACACTTTAAAATGGCTGAGAAAGCCACTAGTGTGACATTCTGAGCTTTCCATTAGTTATTCAGATTTTGTATATTGAAGTAAGCGTATAGAAAGGACCGTTTCCAAAAATGGAAAGAGATGAGTGATGCCACTGTGTTTGATTCAGTACGTGAGCAATATTTCAGCAAATAGAAAAGATATGAGGTTCTTATTTTATATTCTAGCTTGTCAATATCGGTAATTTGAGTTCCTAATTCATTCGAAACTACAGACTTAGTATCTTCATATCACAAACATCAAATTTAAACCAGTGCTGCATTCAACATACCACGTGACACACAAAAATTTATGTTTTTTTTATATTTCCTTTAAATTAAGAAATTGAATAATTTATAATACTAAAATTTGAATTATAATCTACAGTTTGATACCAAACTTATTGACATAAATTCATGAAATAGTAGTTCAATGAATTTTTAAATGTGAGTCAACAAATGCAATAACATGGCCTTTGATCCTGTGACCTATCTGGAAAGGGTTAAACTCCTGTTTATAGGGAGTCAAAGAAGGATGGGAGTACACTCTTGGTCGAGTGGACTTCACACATTAGATAGCTCCATTATATAGTAGGACACAAACAGACTATGAAAAATGACTTGACAAGGTTAAATCCTGAGAAGGAGGGAGGAGATCTGGGAAGTGAGTAAAGAGGGAGTAAAACAGTAGTCAGAAACCCTCATAGAGAACCAGTAAAAAGAATGGAACTGTCGTGAAGTGTAGCCAAAAAAAAGACTCATAAACTAAAGAAATTGAAGAAAGTACACAGAACTAATGAACTAACAAAACTTAGAAATTTGTAGTCTACAAAGAGTTTAAAAGTAACACACCTACAAAACTAAGAAAATCGACCTAAAACATAAAACAATAAGTAACACCTAAAGTACAAAACCACTACAGGGACTGATAAGATAAACAACCCTTAAACATAGAATGTAGAAGTTTTCTCAAAGAAACTATAAAACAAAGGACACAAAAATAAAACTTACTCTAAGGAACATGAGAATAAAAAGGCATCCAGTTAACAAAAACAAAGTTTGACTCAAAACTTATCCCCAA